GTCTCACATAAGCAAGAATGGCTAATTAATTAAGTACTTTTAAAATTAATTTGGGTATCGTAATTAGAAATTTAATAGGAGTATCAATTAGTTTTAAAAAAGAAATACTTTAACACTTGTTATATAAGTGTTAAATTTGTGCGCAAGAATCAGTTCATTTTCTTAATTAAATTCACGTTGATTCTTATAAACCGAATCATTAGGTTCTGCTCCGACCCAAACGAATAAATCGAAGTACGATTACGCAGCAATTCCTTTCTTACTTATATATATGAACAATTTAGTGAATTAATTAATTAGAAGAAAAACAGCATGATTAAAATTCATGGTTGTTCTGCAAATTACCTTTGCTAAGGACCTTTTCCTGACTCACAAAGATCAAATTAATGAGTTGCATTAAGAAAAAGAAGTATGATTTGTAGCTGTTATTCACACAAACGACTGAGCTGCAGGCAAGGTTCTCAAGAAAAATAGCACAGTGACACACGAACTACATAGCAGACATCCAAAAACTATTTTTTTGCTAATGGGTATATACTATAATTAAATGCATTTTTTTAAAAATAATCTAAATCCAGAAATTTGTTTAACAATACAATCAGACGAAGATTTTAAAATGTACCAAGAGAAGGGTACTTGTAAGCAAAAAATTTGAAAAATACAAAATAATAATCTAAATGTTGGACGTCTTTGAAAAGGAGGAAGATCCATAGAAATCAATTAATACATCCAATGTTGTAAGATTAATTATGTTAAAAACTCACTGTTCTAAAAATCCCCACCTAGGTTCTAGGCGGCTGGCCCGACCGATTAATACTTAGGTGTTTAAAATTAAGAAAGGGCGCCTAAGCCTACTAAGGCGCCCGTCTAGACTACCTAGCACCCGCCTAGCCCGCACAGACCCGCCTAGACACCTGTCTAGGTTGCAACTCACTTAGATAGAAAATAGATAACTTTCCTTTTGCATTTTATTGTTTCCAATAAATTGTAAGAGACTTATTGAACACTTAAATAAACACACATTATATGTTTGTTCCTATATTTTCATTATGTTCCAATACTTCATAATATATATATCATTCTATTTTCTAGTTATGATGAAATTATATATATTTTAAGTATAAACAGATACTTATTTACACGAAATACAATAGATTTACTTAAATCTGCCTAGCCACTACGCCCCAGCCCGCCGCTCGACTAGCACCTAACGTCTTTTAGAATCTTAAAAATTTATTAAAAATGTCATTTTAACTCAATTTATATATTAGTAAAAACTGTAGCTAGTAAGCAAGTCGAGTAATACAACTATTATTAAGTTGAGCTAGCTCTATTTGGGCACAAGATGCAGGATATCAAGACTATAACTTCCTCATGATCTCAAAGCACGATCTAATAATGGATCCAACAACCACTTAGTATTGCGGTTTAGTGGTATTCCTTTTCACTTGTAAGTGAGAGGTTTTAGGTTCGATTCTTGCCAAAGACGAATTTGAACCACATTATTACTAGTTCATTGTGAAGCTTAGCCTACCTCTCCTCTTAGTGTAAATAATATTGTTTGATAATAAAAAAAAACAAAAAAGATCCAACAAACTCAACCAGCTCAGTTCCAATACTCTAGTGTAAAATTAGCCTACTAAATTGATCTCACAACAACCAAACTCGCATATAGCATATAGCATATAGCGAGATTAAAAAACTCGCCTAAAGCGAGACTATAAACACAAACAACTCATATTGAGTTCTGTAATTATTACAAACACAAACAGTTTTTGGTTGCACATAAATTAATTCATACTTGGGTCATTGCAGTTCCTTTTGGTCTGTTCGTGGATTACAGACTTTTTCTTCCTTTTTTTGCCTGTGCTTGGGGTTTTTTTTTTTTTTTTTTTTTTGCCGAGTCTGCAGTTCAAACGCTCCCCGAATTAAAGAAAAAGAAACCGAAGAACAAATTAAGAAGGAGCAGACAGGGTTCTTGGGTCGTGAAAGGCACTTTGTTAATTTAATTATATTCAATTAGGTTAATATACTTCTTTGATGAGGTCTTTTAATTAGATCTATATGCATGATGACAAGGATATCTGAAGAGGGAGGGCCCCGATCTCCATAATAAGAGGGTGAGGTTATCTCTGTCAGCCTTCAGATTAACTTGCACAATTTCCTGCAATAAAAAAACAATCTCTTAAAATTTGTGTCAAATATTAGCCATCAATTCAACACGCATCACTAAATGGGTCCAGTGCCTTCAATCACTGATATATTCATATATAATATATATATATATGTATGTATATTATATATTTACATACATGATACATTTATATATAGCATATATATATATTTCACTTCTCCTTCGATCGGTTTCTTATTCTGTATTTTTTGATTCTCTTCATATATAGTATAGAGGCCGGACTATTTCCATACAAACAAGAAGAAATTAAAGTTAATAGATCTGGAATGTGCTTGTTTTCTTTTCTTTGTACAAATCATAATCTTAATTTCTTGGGTCGACAACATTGATCGATGCAGGTATTGTTAGGCATAACCCAATCGTGTCTATTGCTGGTACCAGAAATGGCACATCACAGTCAATTATTGGAGTGTACTGTTCCCCATATTAACATTTTACAGGGATTACTTTCAGGATTTAATTTAAAGAACTTAGTTCGACTTTTCATTTATTTGTATGTGATTGGTATTTTCAACCGAACGACGACGGATAAGTGAATTTAAATTTGAATGCAATAGAGCAGTGCATTACTTACAAATACGGCTAAGTTCAATGCGTATATGAACCGTTAGTTTCCTCTACATTGCTCCCCTAGCTTTGTAGCAGTGCATATGGATATATATAGATCTTTATTTAACAGTGGGCTAGCTTAATTGATCACCGTTTTCCATTACTTTATAAAATGACGAGTATACTTACACAATTAGCTTTTTTGTTATGAGAAGAGTATTACGCGCGAGTGCTTTAGGATCACCGTTTTTCATTCTTTTTTGTTTCCTGGTCACTGTTGGTATGAATTACAAATTGATAAAATCATACTGGAAAGTGTATTTGGCCAAGAAAATGAGCAGAACATTACCTTCTTTTTTTTTTTTTTTTTTTTTTTTTTCTAAGAGCAGCCAAAGCAATCCTATTTATATTTGAGATCGAAGGGTATACAGGCAATATTTTACAATACCTTCATATTAAAAAAGAGATTTGAGCCTTGATGCAAGAAAAACACTGTTTTTGTGAGCTTAACTAGGCTCAAGTTTGCAGATTACGAGGTATTTAGCTAGCCAAAAAATGATCCATCGAGTAGCCCATATTATTTACCTTTGGACGCTATACAAATTAATATAGAATTGCATGGCTTGAATCAGCGTTAACATTAGCTACATTTGACTTAATGAGGTTGCCATGCATGCAGGCATATGTTCCTTCCAAACTTCCTCTTAATTTTGTCTTCCTTCTTAACTTAATGAATCTGGTCCAATAGAAATCACACTTAAAATAATTAAGTCAGCCAAATCGGCTAATATACTCCTCTCTAACCAATAATCTTGCGCGCGCGCACACACATATATGGGACCTGGCCAGCGACCTAACCAAAATGATATATATGGCCTGTTGGTTTTGTTATAGGTTTATATCAACATCCTTCTAATATGTAAGCAATGCATTCAATGTTTTTGCCATGTCTAGCAATCACCATTATTTTTAGAGAATCCGATCACTTTTTACTCAATAATCTGCATGAATCCATGGCGGTCCCGATGTCTAAGCCCATTATATTTAATAGTCTTGTTGATCCTCTACTATGTTTTTAATTAGTCATTGTAATACTATACAACTTTTTCTCTATATATATAATTCTTCATTTCTCTCAAAGGTAAGAAAGCAAAATGAATCAATTTCATATAGTGTGTGTGTGTGTGTGTTTTTATTTGGATTTACAAGGTATTTAAAATTTTGGGTCTTACATATTGCAATCAAGATCATCAATAAAAGTAAAATTCTGGTAAAAAATTCTAGATTTACCACTGTATGAAACTCATCAAAGATAATATGGATAAATAGTAAAACTCTGACCCCACAAAAGTAAAATTCGAGGTCCGCCCACTAGATAACTTATCCAATAAATCCCCACAAAAGTAAAATTCTAATTCTGCAAGTTTGAAAAATTTAAGACGCATATGTAACGAAGCTCCACAAAGGTAAAATTTTAATTAGCCCATTGTTTAAAACGTGTATACCGTCTGAAACCAACTAATATAATTTGTGTCCGTCCACAGAATGAGACACGAGTGTATCATGCATTACACATCGAAACCAGTTGTTCCTCATTCAAAATTATTAATTGTACAAAATCTATATCATAAGGAAATTAGATTTCTTAGCTAATACATCTTATTAGTGTAATTCCAAGTAATACAGCAGGACATAACAACTATAATATCTAATTTATTTTCCATTAATATTTGTACCAAAAAAAAAAAAAAATTAAACCCTAAACATTTTCCTCCATCTCCCTCTTTCCCATTTTTATTTCCCCCCCTTTTCGTGAATCATCGAATTGTTGCTAGCTAGGGTTAAGATACACAGATGCCCTTTGATTACCCGCAAGAAAAACCTAGGGTTTCATATTGGACCGCACTCACACTCTCCAACGACTCACCTGAGCAACACGAACCGATCAGAATCCACTAATGTGCAAAGGCATCTTTGGCCCTCCTTGACACGACAGGTATAAATAAACTATCCCCCCCTCACCTGAACCAGAGCGTACATAACACGCGAGGGGAACAGTAGCTTTTTTTAACCCACGCTAGGGTTTCCTTTTCCTTTGTCGAAGGGATAAGTGACGCACACTGCGCCACGTGGCGGAACGGGATTGCTCCGGCACCGTATCTTGAAGTAATTTATTGTACAAAATGTGTGTGTTTGGACATGACATGTAACATGTATGGTGATGTTTTTTTAAGTACATTCGACGACAAAAGAAAGATTAAAACCCGCCCTCTCTCTCTCCTCCTACCCTCACTCACTCTCTCTCTCTCTCTCTCCTACATTTTTTTTTTGGTGAAGATCTCTCTCTACATTTTCGAAACCTCCTCTCGCCCTTTTTCTCTCTCTAGGGTTTTACGATTGTTCGCACTCAAATTCCACTCATCCAGCTTCGAATCTCAGCTAAAAAATCGCCTCCCGATCTTCCCCCTCCGCCGCTCTATCTGCCAGTGTCGTGCTCATTACGCGCCGTGGAGAATCGAGAGCTGAGCTTCTTACGACGTCGTTTCCGGTGGTTGTCGATTTGCCTTGAGGTTTCAGGTCTTTTTTTTTATCTGCTCGATTTACTCTTTTGTTCAATTGGGTTTTTGAAATCGATGATTTTTTGGATTTAATTAGTATAAAGTTTGAAGCTTTGAGCTGATTTTTTTCAGCTGCTTAATAATTTTTATATTTTAAAAAAAAATATTTTTCTGAGCTGGGTTTTACTGTGTATAGTACGTCAAGTTTTGGGCTTTACTTTCCATTTCATTTCCTGGGGTTTGCTGTTATGCTCAGCATAAACAATTTTATGCGTTTAAGGTGTTATTCATGTCGTTTTGATGTGCTTGGACTCAGTTAATTGTCTAGTGACTGTGAATTTATACAAGGCATATAATGAAAGAACCCTAATTTTTTTTCTGTTAAGTTGGTTGATTGGCATGCTTTTATTTTCCAATTCGGAGTTTCCGAGGGCGAGCCTGAAATGGTTTGTACGATTGTTGCTATTTTGGAATATTCATTCGACCTAGATTGCTCTAATTGAAACAAAACCCTAATATGTGGTTTAGCTTTATTGTTCCTATTTTTGTGATTGAGTTTGCATCTTTATTAGTGAGTTTAGCTGTGCGAATAATTTCATCGATCGTAATACATTTAGCTGCCATCCTCCTTTATATTGATTCATGGAATGCTAGGGTTTGTAATTTCTTCCGTTGGGTTGCTGTACATGTATATATCTATGCTTGTACATCAATGGAGGTTGTTATTTTATGTGCAATGTCAGTGTAGGATGAGTTTTTGCACCTTGTCATTTATTTCTATGATAATTTTGACACTGGATAATTCGTTGCGCATGAGAATTGTTGGCGGTTGAGTATAACCCTAATAATTTTTTTTTACTTGGACAAAGATTTTCTCTCGCATGGTATAGATCAATGCTTTCTTTACACTTTCCTCGGTTTTTCTCCCTCCATGGTGCTTTCTTTGCTATTCTAATTATCATACGATAATGATATCACTCAATTAATTGTTTCGTTTGTTTGAATATAGGAACTACTGTATTAAGAACACTGTGATCTGGATAGATGCTATAACATGGAGAAGGGTCTTCTGATCGACAATAATCACAAGAGGAATGATCCTATTATTGCTTCCAAGACGGTGGGATCATTTGTTAAAATTGATTCAATATCTATAGATCTTCCTGATGCTAATAACAAGAGTAGCAGCCATGCGGGAAACTGCGAGCATTTCACTATACGGTAAGCCTTGGAGCCTTGCTAATTGGTACCCCCTTGAGGGAAATTACCTATCCTTCTCAATGTCTATGTGCTGTTAATTACTCACTTGTTCATAATAAACTAATGTGAATCTTTTGCTAATGATATTAACTGATTTATATTTCTTCGTATTCAATGTTGGAAGCTGTCATTTATTTTGGCTCAATTTTCAAGCTCTAATTTGGATATAGATTGATCTTTAAAGGTAATATATTATGCTATTTTGCAGCAATATATTATATATGGTTAGAGAAGTATATCCTCTTTACTTTTTAGTTCACTGTAATATCACACTTGTTGGGATTGGACTCTTTGATGCGGCAAAGGTTTTCATCAGCAATCATATGGCATACTACCTAGCTAGTATGCGTGTTGCTAATTTAACAAGATAGTGTCTGAAAAGACATAAGTACATAAACAATGGGGAGGATGTGTGTGTGTGTGTGTGTGTGTGTGTGTGTAGAGCATTATTTTTCAAGAGTAAATTGTATGTAGTAAATAATTGACTTCTACTTCACGCATGGATCTTTTTTCTTTTTTTCTTTATTTATTGAAACTTCTGTTTTATGTTTTGGATGTAGTGGTTATGTAGCTGAAGTTCGCAAAAAGAATTGGAAGCTTTGTTGTCCATTTCCTCTGGATGGTGAGTTGGACAAGTTTGATCAGGAGCCAACATCCTTGCTTCCTCCTTTGGATCCTCCAAAATTCAGAAGGTGGTCTTGCGAGAATTGCGTGCTGGAAAGTGGTTCTGAGAGTATTGCAAGAGATCATGGTACAGACATTCGTATTGGATCTGATTCCAATAACAAGTGTGCTCAGGTCCCACACCACAGTGATGCTCCACTGCTTCTGTTAGATTCTGAGCAAGGTTCAATTTCAAAAACTGTTGATGGAAAAAGAGTTGAAGCTCATGTTTCTGTCGATGGAATTGTCAATGAGCAACATCCTTCGTCATCTCCTTTTGATAAGAAAGAAGGGAGGCATGAAGTTGCACCCACTGCCATCACAGGTATACTTAAAGTCAAGCTCAATTCAACTAAATAGACTGTTGGCTATGTTATAGTCTTTTGATTAATTTACTTTTTGTGCTTCATCCAGTGAATAAGAATGTCTTAGATAATCATGCGAGTCATGAAATGCCGAGACTCAATTCTGTTGAGGCAGAAGTTGACCCAAAAAGGACGCAGGAGAGACATAAAGGTAACACAGGTTCTTTCCCTTTGTTAAAAATTATAAAATAAGAATCTGTGATTGAAAAAGTTTACCTGTAATTTCCACAGGTAAATTTACTTTGCAAAGAAAAAACAACAAAATTACAGTACAACTGACTCCATATGGTATCTCACAATCATAATGTCTTTGCTTTCTGAAGCAGAAGCAGTAAATTTGGAGGGCAATGGATCTGTTGAAGTCTGGAAATCAGGATGTGAAATTCGTGATGATACCAACATTAAGCTCCATTTCTCGAACAACAAATTATTCTGGAATAAGAACCTCACCCACACTAGTGAAGCCGAGCACCGACCTTCTGCAGAAGAAAATCACAAGGAGTCAATGAATGCCTCTGGGACATGTAAGATAGTCGGAACTGTTGACAGGGCAGGTGATGCTACCAAGGGCCAGACCAACATTAATCATCCTCTGCATGAGTGTGATTATGCATCATCTGAAAATCTTGATAAGTCAAGTAGTTTGAATCGTAAGAATGGTAGGAAGGTGCGTATGCGTCTGCTGAGTGAGTTGGGTGATGCAAAGCCTGATTGCTTCAGGACAGAAGATTCTCCATCCAACAGAATTAGTAATACATCTGGGGCAGGAACTGTTTCCCAAGGTCAGGTGTCTGTCCAAGAAAGTGCTAGAGTGGATCTTGGTGAGAATAACAAAAGGAAATTGCCTGAGGAAGAGGAACAGAGAAGCCAAGGGACGAGCCTTCCAAAAAGTTTGAATAGAAAAGTTAGGACTTCCAAGCGAGATGAAGAAACCACCAGACACGTTGAGGATTCTGAATTAGAAGAAGATGCAGTTGCCAGAATATCTTTGCAGGCAGATATGAGGAGCAACTGGAATAGATCTGAAATTGAACGAATCCTGGCTGTTGGTAAGAAGAAAATTATGAAATCCAATGATATTGGTGTATGTTCATCCTTAGTCCCACCCAAAGATATTGTGCCAATAGAAGCGCTAGACAAAGTTGGAAGTTCAAGTAAAGGTAATGCCACTACAATTGCTTTTTCTATTCCTGCGTATGATGCAGCCACAGTTAGAGAGAAAGATCAAATTGCTTTGCCTGCCCCAAAAGCAGGTAGAAAGTCTGGTTCCTGTAAGCGGAAAGACAAGATGCCAGAAGTTGATAATGGACTGGCTTCTCTATTTCCTTGGCCCACGAAAGGCCCAAATACAAGGAAAGATGCAGAATTCATGCAAACTGGGCATCCATTTCATCGGGCAGAGGACTCACCCGCTGAAAAAGGGTTGGATCTTTCTCTTAACAGCTATTTGTCTGCTCAAAGAGATGACAGGAAATCTATTCCTCAATCTGAAGATGGATTTCCTTCCTGGTCAACTCGGAAAGATGGCACCGGCAAACTAGATGAGTTTATTAGGAAAAATGCAGAAGCCAACGCAAATCTGAACAGACTTCCTAAACCTGTTTCAAATGCATTTTCTGGGAAAATAGGACATGATGATCGCAGTAGTAATTTTTTCACCTACAGCATGTCTATCGCGAATGAGAAGCAAAACTATCGCTCCCAGGTTGAAGGGAGTTTGTTGCAGCAAATGGTAAGAGCTTTACTCTCTTTTTACTATTCCCTCGATGAATGTCTTCATCTTGATGGTTGCATGATATATGTCCGCAGCAAATGCATGTTTCTTCTGTTTCTAAGGCTTATTATATGCAACTGTGCGGTTATAAAATTGTTGTGATATCATAAATCACTCATCTGTCTCAAATTATTACTGACACAGTTAAGTAGTGGAAACTAGTAAGTTTTTTTTTTTTTCTTTGAACCCTGCTGATTGGTGTTATGTCTAAATAATTTGTTTTCTTATTTCCGTTACCTATGCTGATATGCTAAAATTAGCAGCATTGCTCAAGTTCAAAGAAATAAGGAAGCAAGTCCATTATCCTTGTATTTCCGTTGCCTATGTTGATAATGTGCATATTAGCTGGCCCTTAGAATCGTATTGCACGTTTCTCATATCTGTAGTAAATTTGTAAACACTAATATGCATAATTATCTTCTCTGGTTCTAGTTTTGTTTTGCAATTTCTTTCTATGATGATTCATTTTCCTTTTCAGGATATTTCTCATGCAAGAAACAAGGAGAAAATCATTGAGGTTCCGAAAAATTCAGCTGTGACTGTTAGTAGGAAAGATGGCAACCATAGAGCTGAAAAGACATCTCATAAGGGAGCTGCAGATGACATACCGATGGAAATTGTTGAATTCATGGCAAAAAATCATTATGAGAGAAATCAGAAAGCTTTGGAAGCAGGCATTAATTCAAGGAATGTTCAGGTGCATAGTTATGGCTTTGGAAACTTAAGAATATTAGAGGAAACTGGTGAGAAACGAAAACCTCAGGCAAGAAAGGCAAAAGATGGTGCAACAGCAAGAAAAAATGTGGGACCTTCCAAACAAAAGTTAGTTGACTTTTCTACTTATATCCCTGAAAAAGACACATTTCGTCTTGATCAAATGCATTGCCCTACAGGGTTTAATGCATTCAGTCAGCCTAAAAAGAAGATGAGTACTCGAGAGCAATTTCCTGCTGCTGGTTACAGCAGCTGTAGTTGTGCTCAAAATTGCAAATGGAATGGAGATATGATGAGCCATGGGTTGTCAAATTCTAGCTTGCGGCCGTCTGTTCCACAATCAAAGGAAGAAGCAGCTCGCTTATGGTCACCTGCAATGCCAGCTCAAACTCCCTTAACGCATTACAATCCTCAAAAGTGTGCAGCTCAGCCGTCTAATGTCGATATGCTTTCACACCCTCCAGGCTCGCTGCATAAGGGGAATTTCCATGGCGATTATGGCCTGAAATTATTTAATTTAAATGCTACCAACCTGGAAAAGCATAGTGAAGGTGTTGTTTCTGAACCTTTCAGCAGAACAAATGCAGAGTACTCATTCACTGGCAAATGTAATGTGACTGAGCCTCCTAAGAGTTCAGCGGGTTCTTTTGATCTATATTCCAATGAAACCATACCAGCAATGCATTTGCTCAGCCTCATGGATGCAGGTATGCAGTCAAGTCCTCCCTTCAGCATTGCTGGAAACCCGAAATTTTCCAAGAGGCCCATTGATTTTTACTCCAAGGAGTATTCTGCGGTGGATGCTGGTGGTTATAAGGTTACTGATACCATGAAGCACCCATCATCCAGTTGTTGCGGCAAAAATCACATTTTTGAGAGGTCTCTTGACCTTTTTCCTATGAATCCTGGTGGCACATCTACCTCTTCTTATCCTAAAGGATTCAAAAGGGCTGCCGTAGAAAATAGAGGCTCCAGATCCCAGAATTCTGCATTTAAAGGTGGTGTTTTGGGCAAAAATCACGGAACTATCCCTGTTATGCACAAAGGACTCGCTACGCTGGCTGATTCTACGATGTTTCCCCAGGACCACCACAACACTGAATATCCAATGCTGCAGAAATTGGATACTCATAAAGCTAATGGGGCCATGAGGCCTCCAAGGAGCAGTCCCAATTCTTTAATCTGCACTATAAACAAAAACCCAGCTGAGTTTAGCTTGCCAGAAGATGGCAATGAGTACATGATTAGCGGGAAAGACTTAAAAGTTGGGAAGCAGAGGCACGGCCTCGTGCAAGTAGATCAGAACAAGCAGCCAAAGAAGAGGAAACAGACTACAGGAAAAGGACGCGCACAACAATGAGTTTGATGAGGTTCCTGATATATCTTTACTTGTAGTATTGTATAATCCTTTATTAGCTAAAGTGCTCGAACCAGAACTCTTTGCTCAGCTGCCTGGTATACAATGTTTTCTTATTGCGTGTCTTATTCACAAATTTATCAGTTGGGGTTAATTTGTTTTATTTTAACAGGCGAAGATTTTCCCAGCTAGCTACCGCAAAATAAGGTTCACAGAGGATCCAAGTTGTTGTTGTAAGCTGATATTAGTCAGAGACTCGGAAGCTGGGAAGCGGAGTTTATAGCAGTCATACTGGGTGGAGGTTAAGGCCTGTATATAGCCTTCATATGTCTTGACCTGCCTGTGCTGTTGATTTTGTATCAAATCTTGTTATTGTTTTTCGGGGTCATACTTTCGCAATGACAAGATGGCTTTCGTACTGGTGAGTTATTTTCATGGATAAAACTTGAAATTGTAATTTCTGTAGTTGCCAAAACATGTGAAAGAAGACTATGCATGCTGCTGTTATGTGAGTGATTTGAGAATAAGATTTTGCCTCATCTCTATCAAGCACTTGAAAGAGATGAGCACATCTCTCTCTCTTTCTCTACACACCTACCCACACACAGATGATTTCTGAGTCTCATATAATTCTGGTTAATTTGCATATCTTTCTTCAGTTTCTACTTTCTACACACAAAACTGGAGATTCAAATTTTTTGTTTAAAATTTTACTTAGGAACTGATGTTATGACTTGAGAGTCAAAATTCCATGACCTTGTTATTTCGCCTGTCCAAACTCGTCATAAAATGGGCTCTGTGCGGTGTGGCAAATGAGTTTGGGCGGGAGATCAAAGGGAAAAAGATAAAATAAGGAGGTGAGCCGTGCGTGTAGAGAGATTTTTTCAATGTGCCGAAAACATGATTTGATACATCAAGTGATAATACAATTGGTTAGACATTTAAAAAAAATTTCAACTAATTGCATTATGATACTTGAGTATCAGACCGTGTTCTCAACATGTTAAAAAAATCCTCCAGCGTGTACCACGTTAAGAATTATCTCCTTATTGACCGGTGAACTGATGATGCCTGCACCTGATTGACGAATTTTGAAAAGTTATGCTCTAAATTGATGAAAATGAAAGTAGGAATACGCACATGTTCAAAAGAGCAAAAACACAATACCAAAATTTAAATTCCCCAATACACACACACACACACACACAATTATACATACATACATATATATATATATATCATATTTTGTAGGGCCCGTTATGTACCTCTTTTTAAGAATTTAAACTGTATATATTTCAATTCATCATTCATAGATTATCCTTGCAAAAATTAGACAAATCCAAAATTATTAAGAAATTCATCTTTAGGGAAGAAAATGAAAGAATACGGTTTTCGAAAGAAACACTAAAATGACAATCATTTAATTCAACGATCATATAATTTCGAATTTGAGTGATTTTTTGTAGACATGATTTTTGAGGAAGGCCTAAAAGACAGGATCGCATTTTTGCTACCCACATTCTCTCTCCTATGAATGCTACCCATCCTATAAGAGATATTTTATTTTTCTAGTGCAATATCACATAAAGAGGTTCCTATCGGTCAAAGAAATGAGAATTCGTAGTTTGGTTGGCAGAGGACTTGGCCATTCATGATTGATCCTAGAAGGCCAACTTATAAGTGCATAAACTCATTTTTTTTACGGTTCAGGTATTTTCAGTCAATTAAATGTGTTTTGTAAGTTTTCTTCTAAGCCCAGTAACAAAACTTCTTTTCGAACCCGAAATTTATAAGAGAATCCTTTCTTCAACATTGTACTTTCACTCTGCCCTTCTTTACATTTTTTTTTCTTTCAAGCAACCCTTTTGTTGGTTATGTGTTTCATGAGTTACAAGCCGAAAAAGTTCATTTGCAATTAATTGCTTGAAACTAGGCTTTATTCTTCTACCGATCAAGCAGAAGAAACAATTGCAGTTTTAGAAGTTTGTCATGCTTGAAATCCATGTTTTTGATCCGTCCATGAATAGAGCCTAGTTCTAGCATGTGACTGCAAATGAACTTCTTTAGTTTGTAACTATGAAGCACAAAACAAACAGAAGAAAGTGGAATGCGATGCAAAATAAAACTACGAAGCGATTCAAAATCATCCCGAAAAGCCATAAAAAACTGCACAAGTCTCTTCTCTTTACGTACAATACTTAGCAATTAATAGAGCTAAGTTCTTCAGGTTATGCCAATAATGGCTCGTCCCATAAGACAGTCATTACATTAAAATTTGTTTAATGCTTTTATCGCCTTACTAGGTGGTACGTAATTATATCCATCTCCAGCTGATAACCCTCAGCAAAATTGAATGTGGTCTACAACAACAACAATCAAGCTTTATTTCACTACGTAGGATTGGTTGTATGAATTTTAGAACTACTGCGCTCATATGCATCAAGTCTTTCGTTAGCTTCAAGTACTCCGTATTTTTCTTATAATCTCTTCCAAAGTCTTCATCGGTCTTCTTCTATTCCTTTTACCCTAAGTCTTCGTCTCATAGTCACATCTTCTAACCAAATTATCTATAAATCTTCGGTTTACGTATCCAAACTATTTTAATCGATTATATCTCATTTAACCGATGGTCTAAGTCAACAAAACTATTGATCCAATTAATAATTTTAGACCGAAAGGAAACAGACTTTGGCTTATAATTGGCATGCAAATTATATATCATCGTGTTCAAAGATCAAAGAATAGTACTGAGGTAAAGTTCATAGGAAATTAGTGGAGACATCGACTTCGGGAGGAACGCCATGACATGCAAACATCGAGATGTTGATCGATCAATGTGTGTATCCACAGTACCTTCTGTATGAAAATGAATATCATCTGATCCTCCTCTTGCTGTCGGATCCATGTATTTCTTGGCATTTAGGAGCAAATAATGTAAGGTAATGCTATTTTAATCTTATTAAATCCTTAAGTAAATAAAAGTGTGTTGCATCAGAAAAAAATTGAAGTGTGTTACAATTATTTTTAGTTAAATAATGTATTCTATGAAAAAAATTGAAAAGTAAGCAGCTAGAGAGAAATATTCATCACTACTTACTGGTTAGGGGATCGTTTGTAAATACTTTTAAAATGATTGAAAACGCTCTTAGAGAAACTGTTTTTGGGTTCCAAAAGCATATGAAATGCTTTCTGCTCTGCAAGAAACAGTAGTTATGTGCTTATTCCAGGAAATGCTTTGAGTGATTTTTTACGATTTACTTGCCTTTTTACTAAGGATTGATTCCAAAAACAATTTCACAAAAAAGTTTTCAACCATTTAAAAGCACTTCCAAATGAGCTGTAAATTGATTTGGAAAATTCTAAATCAAGTATCCAACCATTACAGTTGGACAAATTACCAAATCATTTCATGGAAATTTAACTACATGAAGAAAAACAAATATAGGGACAAGAAAGCTAAAAAAATACAAAGACAAATCCAATAAGTGTATTTTTGCTACCCACATTCTCTTTCCTATGTATGCTACCCATCCTATAAGAGATATTTTATTTTTCTAGTGCAATGTCACATAAAGAGGTTCCTATCGGTCAAAGAAATGAGAATTCGTAGTTTGGTTGGCAGAGGGACTTGGCCATTCATGATTGATCCTAGAAGGCCAACTTATAAGTGCATAAACTCATTTTTTTTTTACGATTCATGTATTTTCAGTCAATTGAATGTGTTTCGTAAGTTCTCTTCTAAGCCCAGTAACAAAACTTCTTTTCGAACCAGAAATTTATAAGAGAATCCTTTCTTCAGCATTGTACTTTCACTCTGCCCTCTTTACATTTTTTTTTTCTTTCCAGCAATCCTTTTGTCGGTTTTGTGTTTCATGAGTTACAAGCCGAAAAAGTTCATTTGCAATTAATTGCTTGAAACTAGGCTCTATTCTTCTACCGATCAAGCAGAAGAAACAATTGCAGTTTTAGAAGTTGGTCACGCTTGAAATCCATGTTTTTGATCCGTCCATGAATGGAGCCTAGTTCCAGCATATGACTGCAAATGAACTTCTTTAGCTTGTAACTCATGATGCACAAAACCAACAGAAGAAAGTGGAATGCGATGCAGAATAAAACTACGAAGCGATTCAAAATCATCCCGAAAAGCCATAAAAAACTGCACAAGTATCTTTCTCAATACGTACAATACTTAGCAATTAATAGAGCTAAGTTCTTCAGGTTATGCCAATAATGGCTCGTCCCATAAGACAGTCATTACATTACTAGGTGGTACGTAAGTATATCCATCTCTAGCTGATAACGCTCAGCAAAATTGAATGTGGTCTACAACTATAACAACAACAATCAAGCTTTACTTCACTAAGTGGAATCGGTTGTATGAATTCTAGGACTACTGTGCTCATGTGCTTCAAGTCTTTCGTTAGCTTTAAGAACTCCGTATTTTTTCTTATAATCTCTTTCAAAGTTTTCATTGGTCTTCCTCTATTCCTTTTGCCCTGAGTCTCCGTCTTATAGTCGCATCTTCTAACTGAATCATCTATAAATCTTCGGTATACGTATCCAAACTATTTTAACCGATTATATCTCATTTAACCGATGGAAATGAGAGTGAATATCATCATGTTGCAATGCACGACATTAATATAGTTTTTATATTAAATTTGATTGTTTGTGGCTTTTCATCTTTCAAAGCTATATTTTATTAGGTTTCTAGTAACTATAATCGTTCAGAATAAGTATTTATTCTACCAATGTTGTAATCTCTCTATTTAAAGGACTCCATATGTATGTTTAGGCAGACTTGATGAATGAAAATTTATATTTGCCTTGTGCATTTGAAGAGTGTGATTTCTCCTTCTAAAATCAAGCATTTGGCTTGGTCGTGTAAGCGCATCCACAATTAGCGACATTGAGTGAGCTCCGTTGCCCCTGGTTGAGCGATTCCCAGGTCATCTATCCCCCCTCTCCTCGATACCCTTGGTTTTGTCCTGCATAAAGTGGCATTAGAGCAGGTTTTCCGCTGTAGTTGAAGACTATGGCTGTGATTTACTATTTGTTTAAAGAGCACACTATCGAAGAAATCAATTTCGTCAATTGGGATTCACCACCAATTTATGATGAGTACATTGATGAAGACGAAGTCAATACTCGTTTTGTGAATGAAGTTGATGAGGATGGTAGTGAGGTAAGCAAGTTATACACCTCAAGTTCGTATAATTTCTTAGAAGATGATATTGGTTTTCACGTGATCAATGAGATTCTTGAAGGTAGTTTCTTGAATGTTGAGCACCAAGTAAAGATTGTGGATGTGAAGGAAACTTTATAGTTTATGAGCCCGGTGGTAAATTCAAACTTAATTAATGCACAACTTCTACATTGGGCAAAAACTCCTTACTATGATATTCATGATTATATGTGGGATAAATTTCTTTATCATGATGATTTGGTTAGAAGAAAGTCTTTGAAGAAGAGAAGCATTGCTCACCATTGGAGGCATGTGCCATTTTGAGCTTATCCATTTGAAGAAAGAATATGGATCAAGACTTCGAACACTTGTAAATTTCTTGTGCT